ATTTCCATTTTGCATCCATGCAGCCAGTCTATGTCTTTTGGTTGGAGCCTTTAATTCACTTACATTTAAGGTAATTTTCAATGTGTTCCTATTGTCATTTTCTTAAATTATGTTGGATTTGTTTTTGTAGATCTTTTTTTCCCCTTTTCCCCTTCCTCTTTTGCTCTGTTCTCTTGTGATTTGATGATTTAGTGTTGTTTGAATTTGTTTTTCTGTATGTAACTATTATAGACTTTTGATTTGCAGTGACCATAAGGATTTGGTATAGCAGACTATATGTAAATAAGATTGTTTTAAGTTGCCTGCTGCTTAATTTCAAATGCTTTACAATATAGTGTATTTGTGCTCTCCTCACAATTGTTTTGATATTTGTATGAGATGATTTCCTACCTTTATGTTTGCCCTCTCCAGTGATCACACCATCATGGTTATCTGGTGTGATCACTGGTGAGGACAAACATAAAGGTAGGGAATCGTCTCATACAAATATCGAAACTAGCAACGTGAGGGGAACCATGATGGCGTGATCACTCACCTAGAGACAGACATCCTGGAATGCAAAGTCAAGTGGACCTTAAGAAGCATCACCACGAACAAAGCTAGTGGAGGTGATGGAATTCCAGTTGAGCTATTTCAAATTTAGTTTGAGCTAAATCAAAGATGATGCTGTGAAAGTGCTACACTTAATATGCCAGCAAATATGGAAAACTCAGCAGTGGCCACAGGGCTGGAAAAGGTCAGTTTTCATTCCAGCCCCAAAGAAAGGCAATGCCAAAGAATGCTCAAACTACTGCACAATTGCACTCATCTCACACGCTAGTAAAGTAATGCTCAAAATTCTCCAAGCCAGGCTTCAGCAATACGTGAACCGTGAACTTCCAGATGTTCAAGCTGGTTTTAGAAAAGGCAGAGGAACCAGAGATCAAATTGCCAACATCCGCTGGATCATCAAAAAAGCAAGAGAGTTCCAGAAAAACATCTATTTCTGCTTTATTGACTATGCCAAAGCCTTTGACTGTGTGGATCACAACAAACTGTGGAAAATTCTTAAAGAGATGGGAATACCAGACCACCTTACCTGCCTCCTGAGAAACCTGTATGCAAGTCAAGAAGCAAGAGTAGAACTGAACATGGAACTGGTCCAAATTGGGAAAGGAGTATGTCAAGGCTGTATATGGTCAACCTGCTTATTTAACTTATATGCAGAGTACATCATGCGAAATGCCAGGTTGGATGAAGCACAAGCTGGAATCAAGATTGAGGGCAGAAATATCAATAACCTCAGATATGCAGATGACACCATCCTTACAGCAGAAAGCAAAAAGGGACTAAACAGCCTCTTGATGAAAGTCAAGAGAATGAAAAAGCTTAACTCAACATTCAAAAAACAAAGATCATGGCATCTGGTTTCATCACTTCATGGCAAAAAGATGTGGAAAAAGTGACAGACTTTATTTTTTGGGGGCTCCAAAATCACTGCAGATGGTAACTGCAGCCATGAAATTAAAAGACACTTACTCCTTGGAATAAAAGCCATGACCAACCTAGACACTGTATTAAAAAGCAGAGACATTACTTTGCCAACAAAGATCCGTCTAGTCAAGGCTATCGTTTTTCCAGTAGTCATGTATGAATGTGAGAGTTGAAGCATAAAGAAAGCTGAGTGCCGAAGAATTGGTGCTTTTGAACTGTGTGGTGTTGGAGAAGACTCTTGAGTCCCTTGGACTGTAAGGAGATCAAAGCAGTCACTCCTAAAGGAAACCAGTCCTGAATATTCATTGGAAGAACTGATGCTGAAGCTGTAATCTCCAACACTTTGGCCATGTGATGTGAAGAGCTGACTCATTGGAAAATATCCCGATGCTAGGAAAGATTGAGGGCAAAAGAAGGGGACGACAGAGGATGAAATGGTTGGATGCCATCACTGACTCATTGGATATGAGTCTGAGCAAGCTCCAGGAGTTGGCAATGGATAGAGAAGCCTGGTGTGCTGCAGCGCATGGGTTCACAAGAAGTCAAGACTCGACTGAACTGAACTGAGCAGTGAGCCTTTACACTCATAATTTTCTTGTTCCTAGCTGTCCCCTGGTTCTGCTTAAGACCCTCCAAAACTAGCAGATTAGAGATCTTGGCCCAGTCTTTTATGCGGTCACTCCTTTTCCCCCTAAGTTCTGGTGCACACTAGACTCTTGGTGCCCTCCAAAAGTAGAATTTCTGTTTCTCTCAGTCCTGTGGAATTCCTGAGACACAGCATGCTGACCTTCAAAGTCAGATTCTCTGGAGGCTCCTCCTTCCATTGCCAGACCCCCAGGCTGAGAATCCTGATGTGGGACTCAGATCTTTCACTCTAGTGGAACTTTTGTGGTACAACTGTTTTCCAGTTGTGGGTTATCCACCCTTTGGGTATGAGTTTATCGCAAGTGCACCCCTCGTATCATCTTGCGGCTTGTCTTTGCATGTAGGTTATCTTTTTTGGTAGGTTCCCGCATTTTTGTTGTTGTTCATGGCTGCTCAGCAGTTAGTTGCTATTTTGTTTTTTTTTGTCCTTCTATCCCATCATCCTTTGCTGTTTTCAGTCGTTTATTTTTGTATTAACAACTGTGTGATGTTCATCTCCCCCCAACAGATAGAATGGCCCATGAGGGCAGGGCATATTTCTGTGCTGTTTATAGTATCTTCTTCATTGTCAGACTGGTATGACTCTGAGACTTCAGTTAACAGGTCATTTTCCATCTAAGTTCTTTGGATACACAGTATTTGAATTGGGGTATGCTATGCTGACATTTTGTTTCAAGCTACAAATACCAATTTGCCTAATCACTCCATCATACATTTGTGGTTTCTCCAATGCCCACTCACACTGATTACCTTTTTGCCTTTTATAACTCCTTTTGTACCTTCAACATCAGCATTTAGAGCTCAGGAAGTTGAAGAAAAGCAGCAGATTGATAAGAAAGGTAGGAAAAAACCAGACAAGTGCAAAGCCCCAGAAATTGAGAATAGTTTTTCAAGGAGTAGGCAATTACTGCAAATGATGAAACCCAAGAATGATCCATTAGATACATGTCACCTTAAGAAGAGCTTTAGTGAACCAAATATAACAGCAAATGGAGGAAGAGAAATTGGAAAAAGTATAGGAACTTATTCGATAAGGCCAGAAGTGCTGGGCAGGGTTGGCATAGAAGTATAAGCTGTCTTGGGAGTAAAGACCCAGAGTGTGGTGTTTCAGAAGGCAAGAGAAGGGAAAATTGCAAGAAGGGCCAATTGCTGTCAGGTCAAGTAAGATGAAACCAAAAACTCCATGGGAGTGAAACAGGATGATCCAGGAAGAGCATCTGCAACATTAAGCAGAGGGTGGGCAGAAACAGATGATGAATGGAGAAAACCTAAAGCTCGTTCCACAGGAAAGAGCACCAGGAGGAATCAGGGTTTTGTGGATGTGATGTGGCTCTGTGCTTATATTATGATAAAGACTTGACATGTTTGAGGAGCAGCTAATAGAAATGGCACAGGGGAGAACAGAAAGACAGGCAAGAGTGGTCCTTGAAAAAGAGTGTGTAGTACCTTTTCCCAAAGGAAGCAGTTGCATTTGGCCAAAGCCACAACTCTAGGCACCAGAAAGTTTCAGCTGAAAGTTTATGTGTCTTTTGCCCATTTCCTGATGTTACTCCACGATCAAGACGGACTGGGTTACACATCATTTAAATACACCACTACTGCATCAGTTCCAAGCTGCAGCCCCGCACTGCAGCATAAGGCAGTGTTCTGCCTGTTCGGCTGTGTTCTGACCCACCCTTCTTCCCCAGGGGCCTCGGATTCTGGCACCACTTCTTCCAACAGGAGCACAGGACCCATCTCCTCTGGAAACTTCAGTCCATGCTTCTGAAATATCTACTGTTCTTGACTTGTAGCACACAATACTTTATAAGCATTCACTATTCCACATGGTAGCTGTTTCATTAGCTACATCAAGCTCCCCATCTTGGGAGCTCCCCACCCTTGGCTGTACAGCCTTTGGCTATCAGAAACACAAGGACAAAACAGACTATAGTGATCAGGGTCTTGCACCAGTTGACCCTACAAGCTAGTTTCTAAAAACCAAGGTTAATTAGAAGTACCTACCTCACAGGACTGTAGTGAGGATTAAATATAAATGTACACACTTGGCAAACAGCAAGTGCTCTTCAAATGCTATTACACAATTAGTTTCCTTCTCTCTTCTATTGTCTCCCCATCAATTACTAACATGGCACCACCCCTCCACCACCACAGTCATACTGCCAGATGCAAGGTGGGTACACAGAATTCAACATTTCTTCCTATGTGTTTATACCTGATAATTTCTTAACTTATGGGGAAAAAAAGGAGGTTTGAGGGGAAAGTCACAGCTAATAGTATACTGAGACATGCCTTCTAGTTCTAAAATGAATAGCTGATATCTGCTTAACTATGTATTTTCAACTACAGAAAATATATTAAAGGAAGAACTCTTAAAAGTTTGTTTATATCCTACAGGGAATCAATCTCTCTAGAAGTAAATAACAGACCTACATGAAGTATTTTAACCCAAGTCTAAAACTTTCCATTATTCTTTCCCATGATCTTGACATGAAGCAGGGATCAGCAAACTACAGGCAGCAGGACAAATCTAGCCCGTGAGCTAAGTATTTTTAAATGTATTTAACAATTCTTTAAAAATTTAAAAAATAAAGACTGCGCCACCTGCCAAGCCTAAAATCTTTACTACCTGGCGCTTTATAACATACTTCACAGAGGCTCTGAACAAGGACATAAGAAATGAGTGCAAGACAGAGGACTCACAGGGCTTCCAAAAACCCCACTGACCCCTGACGTACTTATAGGCAAGATGTTTCTTTGCCCTATTAATGCAGAAACTCAACTTCCAGTGCCTGGTTTTGTGGATAAACCCCCAGGAGCCCTCCAACTCTGAAAACCACTGCAGCTGTCCCACTTTTCATGCTCTATGAGGTGAGCAATAATGAGAGAAGAAAGTAAGTCTTATTAATGGGAGGTTGTGAATGATAAAAAGCTGTATAATGTTAGATAGACAAATTCAAGTTCATAAAGAAATTTCCTTAAATTTAATAAAGATACTGAAAATGTTCTCTGCATTTTTTTTTTAATATTTACAGTCTTGTCTTTTTTTTTTTTTTTTCAGTTCTGTACATAAATATTTACAGAAAAACCCCATCAACTGTCTGCATCAGTAATCCTTGCTGGTGGGTTCACCATTTACAAGGAAGACATCATTCAACGCAAGCTGTCACAGAGACTGTCCTACCAGCAAGGATCTCTTAACTTGAAGGATCATTGCTAGGTCTCTTTTATCAAGATCACCAATCACCTGGAAGCCCTTAGCTACCAACTAACAATGACTTGTGAAATCAATGAACAGTCACTGGCTTCAGTGCAGTGTGACTAACTGCAATTACTGTCTAGTGGCCATGTCTACACCCTATGCTGCCTTCAATCTTTGAAGTCATCAGTATAGTTAAGAACAGAAAGAAAGCCCCTCCCCCTAGCCAATCACTGTGAAAAGCATGCGTAAGGCAATTGAGTTGAGGGTTAAGGATTCATCTTGCTAATGTCAAAAGTGACACTAACAAGATTCTTAGCCTCATCCACCAGATGAGGGTCCTCTGCGTCCAGGTCTCCAGGAGCAGGTTCCACTACCTTCACCAGACAAAGGATTGTAACCTGTGACAACAGAAAGGAAGTAAAACAGTGCTGGAAACATTTTGCATCAAACAGAAGACTGTAAGCCTGATATGCAAAGCACTACAAAGATACGATCCTATTCTCATAAACATTTTCATAAAACTTTAAGCTACAAGAGAAAAAAACTTTATAATATGATTGCACTATATTGCATTGTATATACTGAACTGACTTTCTATAATGTGACTGCAGTCTGAACTGACTTGAATAAAACAAGCCATTCAGCTTCTGTTTTAGCTATCAAAACACAAAAATCTCCCCCAAATACACAAAAAATTTGCCCCCAAAGCCTCTCAAGATGGTTAAATTTAGATATACAAAGGCTTCTAACTGTAGTGCTTAATAAAACAAATACATTCAAGTAAGAACTGTTCAAGCTACAGAAAATAAATTATAAAAATCAAAACAGAATGGAACGTGCTGTCACTTTCACCAGTCAGAACTGGGAAATCCACATGCCCCAGCCCCCACACCCATCCTTGCCCACTCATTAACTTCCTAAAGTTAATAGACATTTGGAGACCATTCTGCTCAGGCTCTAGAGTCAGCAAGACCTTAAATGAGGTGGTTTTGTTCCTTACTTACTGTAGAATCTTTGGTCACCAACTCCCTGTGACTCAGTTTCTTTAAGGCCTGTAAAGACAAGCCATTCGAAGCCCCCAGCTCTGGACTGCTAGGAATGCTAGAGGCATGCACACCGCACACCATACATTCCATTTTCTACAATTGTCTCCTGAATACTACCACTCTTTGCTCTGCAAAATGGTCTTAGAAGATCATTTCTTGCTGGAGCACGAAAAGACTTAAAAAAGCATTTCCTTTTCAGACACACCACTCCCCTAGACAGGACAGCTTTGAGTTCCTAACACAAAGGAAGGGATCAGAGCCCACTTTAAAGGGCAGCCCACCCTGCGCTCCGGCTTCAGAGAGCTCACGGGCTTCACAGACTCCCCTCAGTCCTCCAAGAGGTTGGCCAGGCTTCCACCCCTCTGCCTCTGCTGGCGCCTAGCCAGAGAAAACCCCTCTTCCCAGACAGAAAAAAGTGTCTTCAGCCTAGAACTGGTTCAAAAGCATTCTAATGCTTTTGCCCGCCCCTCTCTCCAGATGGAGGAGGAACTCCTGGCAGATCACAAAAGTTTACTTATTTTCAATTGTATGGCAGTCCCATCTTCCCAAAAGTACGTGAAAGTCCTCAAGGATGGGATGGTACAGACTGCTATGGAGCCACCCAGAGTGCTCGGGGGTACTGCACACAAAAGGTCTCTTAATGAGTATCTGTTCACACCTCCTTGAGGGAGTTATTTGTAAGAAACAAGGCAGCCCTGGCTGTAAAGATCAAAACCCAGGTCCTAGGCCCCTGCCCCATTCATATGCAAAACAGGCAAACTACTCCTTGCCTCACTTAACTCACCCATTACAGGACTGTGGGATCATGTGAAAAATACTAAAATACAAGTGCAACTGTCCCAATTATTTCCTGAGAGCCTCGAGTGACCTCCTTCTTCATTGCTGATCAAATGCTAACTTTTGTGAGGCCAAGGAGGTCAGAGGCTTTCTGGAAACAGGACATGCACCCACAGCCTTTCTGGAGGCCCTGGGGCAATGATAGGGTTCAGCAGGTTGGTCATTTCTAGCTGCTGATGGCTGTTTTACATCTATTTCTTTTATTTAATCTTCATAACCTACACTTATGTATTAGTCTCAGTTTATAGACAATGAATCAAGAAAAGAGAATCCTGTTTCAGGTAAATTTAGCCAGTCATTGTTCAGAATGCTTTAACGTTTGACACTTACCTCCTCCTCGCAAAGGCTTTCTGTCAGATTTTCGTTTCGGGATGACTGATGAAGTAGAAGGCCCAGGACTGTCTTCTTCCTACTTGAATTTATACAGGCTTAAGAATCTAGTTAAGACATACTACTCCAGGAATCTTCACCTACTTGAAAAAAGTCCACTAGGTTGAAGGCTACATCACCTGAGGCTTTCTTGTATTTCCTTTATAACTTTTTCCTTCTTGCATGCTATCCCACATTTCAATCTTCTGTCTCCTTTTTTCTTCTTCAAGCTGAGGAAGAATCACACATGACACAGAATGAATTCATAAGCTGCCATCTTTCTCAAAGAAAATCTGCTTTTGATAATCTGTAATTTAAATATTCTTCAAACTTTCACCTGCACTTTCTTCAGTTAATAAAGCAGCTATCATCTAGTGGTGTGTGAGTTTAATTCAGATACAGAATCTTTTGCATACTATTAAAGAAAGCAAAAAGTGTCACAGAAGAAAGAATACCTATTCTTCTTTTAAACTAGACATTTCCGGTCATGTGGAAGAACCCTGACTTGAAAAGGGTCAGTGTGGCTGGCAGGTGTGCTTTGCTGCTATTTGCTTGTGTCACCTGAGAAAAGTCAATTAACCCTTCAACTTTGAAGGCTGTGAGGAACCAATGAGAGCAAATTTGAAAGTTCTCTGAAAGTAAGGTACTGTGGGAGCATAAGAGAAAACTAATCTCAGTAGAAAACCATGTTCAACAACAAGCACCTGGGAAAGCTTGAGCAGTGAACAGGAGGGAAACACAATGCCCGAGGTCATACTCCAGGAATCTTCACCTACTTGAAAAAAGTCCACTAGGTTGAAGGCTACATCACCTGAGGCTTTCTTGTATTTCCTTTATAACTTTTTCCTTCTTGCATGCTATCCCACATTTCAATCTTCTGTCTCCTTTTTTCTTCTTCAAGCTGAGGAAGAATCACACATGACACAGAATGAATTCATAAGCTGCCATCTTTCTCAAAGAAAATCTGCTTTTGATAATCTGTAATTTAAATATTCTTCAAACTTTCACCTGCACTTTCTTCAGTTAATAAAGCAGCTATCATCTAGTGGTGTGTGAGTTTAATTCAGATACAGAATCTTTTGCATACTATTAAAGAAAGCAAAAAGTGTCACAGAAGAAAGAATACCTATTCTTCTTTTAAACTAGACATTTCCGGTCATGTGGAAGAACCCTGACTTGAAAAGGGTCAGTGTGGCTGGCAGGTGTGCTTTGCTGCTATTTGCTTGTGTCACCTGAGGAAAGTCAATTAACCCTTCAACTTCGAAGGCTGTGAGGAACCAATGATAGCAAATCTGAAAGTTCTCTGAAAGTAAGGTACTGTGGGGGCATAAGAGAAAACTAATCTCAGTAGAAAACCATGTTCAACAACAAGCACCTGGGAAAGCTTGAGCAGTGAACAGGAGGGAAACACAATGCCCGAGGTCATCGCCTCTGCTTCCTACTCCTTGAACAACTGGGGACTGCAACTCACGTGCACACCAAGGTCACTAACTCTCTCAATTCCTGACACAATCCAAACCCAAACTTCAATTCATTCTGGTTCCAATTAAACTGTGATGCCACAAAGATATGCAAGAGGATGCATTAGAAAGCACACATTCGGAAATTTCTTAACGGTTCAGGGTCCATCACTGTTAAGCCCAAATGCCTGTCCCTTCATGCCTTCACTGTCTGCAAGTACAGGAGGTTAAGGAAGAAACTGCTTCTTGATCTGAAGGTTCTTTTATGTTTATAGCCAATATGAAAAACACCACAACGGTATATTAGTAAAAATTCTGAGACCACATACAAGAGAGCAGACTTAACTGTGAGACAGGAAGACTGTTACTTTTCTTAAGTATACAGAACCACGTTGACTACATTAAAGTCTCTGTGCAGATCACAAAATGTGGAAAATTCTTAAAGAGATGGGAATACCAGACCACCCTACCTGTCTCCTGCAAAACCTGTATGCAAGTCAAGAAGACAGAATCAGACATAAACAATGGTCTGGTCCAAAACTGGGAAAGGAGTATGTCAAGGCTATACATCACCCTGCTTATTTAACTTCTATGCAAAGTACATCACGGGAAATGCCAGGCTGAATAAGCACAAGCTGGAATCAAGATTGCCAGAAGAAATATCAGTAACCTCAGATATGCAGATGATACCACCCTAATGGCAGAAAGCATCAAGAGCCTCTTGATGAAGGTGAAAGAGGAGAGTGAAAAAGCTGGCTTAGAACTTAACACTGAAAAACAAAGATCATGGCATCCAGTCCCATCACTTCATGGCAAACAGATGGGAAAACAATGGAAACCGTAACAGACTGTATTTTCGTGGGCTCTGAAATCACTGTGGACGGTGACTGTAGCCATGAAATTAAAAGATGCTTGCTCCCTAGAAGAAAAGCTATGACCAACCTAGACAGCATATTAAAAAGCAGAGACATTCCTTTGACAACAAAGGTCCATAGTCAAAGCTATGGTTTCTCCAGCAGTCATGTATGGATGCGAGAGTTGGACAATAAAAAAGGCTGAGCAGCAAAGAATAGATGCTTTCAAACTGTGGTGCTGGAGAAGACTCTTCTGAGTCCTGTGGACAGCACGGAGAACACACCAGTCAATCCTAAAGGTAATCAGTCCTAAATATTCATTGGAAGGACTGATGCTGAAGCTGAAGCTCTAATACTTTGGCCACCTCATGCGAAGAACTGACTCATTGGAAAAGACTCTGATGCTGGGAAAGATTGAAGGTAGGAGGAAACAGGGGTGACAGAGGATAAGATGGTTGGATGGCATCACCAACTCAATGGACATGAGTTTGAGCAAACTCCCACAGATGGTGAAGGACAGAGAAGCCTGGCGTGCTGTGGTCCATGGGTTCGCAAAGGGCCAGACACACGACTGAGAGACTGAACAAACAAAACAGAACCACAACTTTAAAACTGAACACAGGCTTCCATCCTTTCTCCAATTTTAGGAGGCTCACATTACAGATTTTAAAAACAATCTTTTAAAAGCTTTTTTTCCCCAGCTACATCAGCAAACTGAGTAAATGATCAGGCTGTTTTACTAATGCAAAAAACTCAAACCCTCAAGTCATTAATTTTGACATGTAGAAGGAACTTAACTTACTCTTGGGCTCTAAAAACAAAACAATTAAATATTTCTCAAAAACTTTAAAACACTTTCTAAAGTTTAAGAAAAAAAAAAACTGCTTAAAAATAGCATCTATATGTATTATGCTGCCATTTCTATGGAAAAACTACATAAGCATGCATTTATATATGGATAAAATATTTCTGGGAAAATACCTAAAAAATTTTGCTCTGTCCTTTCACTCTGGGTTCCAGCCACGATAGGGACACCAGCCATGTACTAAGTGATCATGCAGAAAACAAAAGCCACCAGTGGTGGCAGATAGGCATTCCTTTCTGGAAATACCAGAGGCACATGTAAGACCAGCAGGAAGACCAACTTCTCTGGTTTCCTTCTAATGGGATAAAGAGGAGCCCAGAAACATCTGTAATGAAACCAGGAAATGGAGCCTACACTTAGCTGCTTCAGTTACACAGACTGGGGCCAGCATAGGAAGTGTGACTTCACTCCTGTGAAGAGCAGCACAAACCACCTGGCTGCTCAGGTCACTTCAACAGTAGCCCCTGGTTCTTCCTCCCCACCACCTCAGTCCATTGCCACCCTCCCCTGGCTCTTCTTTACTCCACTGAAGAGTGGCCCCACCGAGTCAGGTCCTGTGAGATGCAAAGCTTGAAACCGACCATGAAGACGCTGAATGTGTGTTCTGTGTCTGGTGGTACGGCTCCTGCACATAGCACACGGTTTTGTTGGGCAAAATATTGCTATAAGGGAACCACTTAAAAGTAAAAACATAAATACGAGACTACTTAAGAGTATTTAATTCTTTGAGAGCATTCCACCTCTAAATATTAAAAAATTATACAAGTAAAACATGCTGAGCAATACTTAACTAAGTGGAAATGATTCAGCCTGAAAGTGTTCCCTGTACCCACCATAATATGAGTACATGCACACACACATACACACACTTTTAACAACTAAACCGCAAGTATCATGTATTCAAACTAAAACCAGTACACACCTGTCTTAATTTCTCTTTATGTTTTTCAACTTGTGCATTCAACTCTTCTTGCATTTTCAAACGAGCAGCTGCTAAAGCCTCCTGCCGTTTAACAACAACATCAGGTTCTGAAAAGGCAGAAAAAAACTGGAATAAAGCACCTTGTAAAATATAAAATGGAAACTCTTGAGGTCTATATTATTAGAAGTGTACAGAAATCAAACAATACAAAAACTTTTTAACATGAGTAAGCCTATTCTTCTTCATATATTCAATTACTGCTTAAAGGGGAAGGAGACTATCACACAGCCTCAGTTCAGAGTCCTTGTTAAAATACTTACAGCATCAGAAATCTCTGTTCAAAACAGATTTCTGGGCTACCTGAGCAGTCCCAATTCAGAGAATCTGGCATGGGCCCTAAGATTAAAATATAAGTGGTCAGGCAGCCACAGCAAAATTTGATTTCACATCCTGGATACCTCCTAACACCCAGCCTCTAGGTTGACCAGAATTCTAGAAGATAACCAAGGGAAAGAAAGTTTTCTGATTATTAGCTATCACCTAATTAGTCTAGATATATACCAGAAAGAGATAAAGATATTAAGGTATTTTATCCTTGTTTCTACAGAAAAGAAAAATCCTTCCAACTAGCGTTAATAGAAATGGCCACCCCAGATATTTATTTTTATCTGGTTTATACAACAAAGCAAATTATACAAAAACACAAGTTTCTGACCTGCTTTATGCAGACCACTGTGTTTAAGAAGCACTACGGGGAACTACACAGTGGTGTGACTAATTTTCTGGACAAAGAAACAAACTACAACTATTATGTTCACATCAGCATCATCCAAAGGATGTGTGATCACCATTACCCACAGACAGTAAAAAGCAATGGAAAAAAGGTCACTTAACTGAATCCATGTAAAACAGGGGACAAAATGGGTATGGCTGGGTGTTGTGTGTATGTGTGTGGTGGCAGAAATGAACAGACTTTTACCTTTAAAAATGAAACTATTGTTCTACTTTATAGAAATGTGAATTGTAGCAACATTCGAAATTGCTGTTTTATTCTTAGAAAAAAAGAAATTATGTGTGGATTTTTTAAACCTAATTTTCCTAACAAAATTGTACAATACAAAGTACACTTTTCACTGCACATTTACTTTGTGCAACGCTTCCTTAAAACAAACTCCTCTTCTGAGATGCCCATCCCATTATCTTACAAATCCACTCCTCAGCTGTCAGCAGCTCACAGTGCCAGTAAGGGCTGTACCAGGTGACTGAAGCTGTTCTCTAACCTCATGCACTTCACATTATCCTGCAACTTACGCAAGATTTACAATTGTACTTTGTTTTTTGAAATATATAGCCAACAACCAAAAAAACTGAGATAATGGCAGGACCACATAGTTTCATGGGAGAGGAGAGTGAAGGAATTTTTTAGGTCCTTCTACTAATGACTACTTCTATGTTATGATGTTTGTTTTCTTCCCCAGCTTCATAACTGTGGTGACTCAGATCACTGATGATTAGTAGTTATTTAAGTATACTACTATTATCAAAATACTGAACATTTCTTTTGAATATGTCCTCAGAAACCGTAACTTCTAACAAGTTAAAAGGTGACTGTTTTAGAGGGAATGAGTTTTTGAAACAGCCATGTGTAAATCTGCCATCAGGTCTGATGAGCAAGTTGTGAAAAGCAAAGTACAGTGGATGTGAGGAACTAAGGCTGAGTTTCCTGTCACTCACAATGGTTCCAGAGATAACTGAGAGTTAATAGGCACACCCATTAAGTATGGAGAAGCTGTGACGCTTTCATTTTAATCTCTCCTGTAAATGAAGAATGATGCAGGCAGGGGGTGTTCTACACATCATCAAGCAGGTTTTTCACCCCATCAAAAACTCTGAAATTTAAAAAAACACTATTGCAATTCACCAACATCAACTTCAGAAGTGTAAAACAGTTTTCCTCCCACACAGATTAGACAGATACCTCTTACTCATAACAATAGACTAACTTATAAATACTACAAGAAGTACGGGTAAAGCCACGCCTTCAGTCCACTTCCCTGGAAAATTCTGTGGACAGAGGAGCATGGCAGGCTACAGTCCATGGGCCCCAAAGACTCTGACACGACTGAGCGTACACGCGCGCACAGGCACGTACACACACACAGACATACTGACCCAGAGCAGCGGCAGCTTGATCTAAGTGCCTCTGCCTCAACGCCCTCAACCGGGTGGAAAGCTTCTGAAAGACCACGTAGAGAAGGATGCAGCTGAAGACGATGTACCAGCCGTAAGTGGCCAGCAGGGAGCCCACTGAAAAGAATAAAACATTCACAGTTTTCAAGAAACTAAAAATGACACTACCACCGGACTTTCCTAGCGGAGGACTTCCTAAGACAGTTAAAAGAGCGAAAAGTACAATCCAGGGATCCCTGAGAAGGTACTTCTCAGCCGTCTGCGGAATCGGAGGGGCAAGCCCGAGGCAGGCGGGGCACGTCAGCCGGGTTCTGAAGGATGACGGGGTGTGTCCAAATCAGGAAGGGAAGGGCTTTAAGGATCCAGGCAACAGACGGAAAAGGGTAGCCGCGGGGGCCTGGCACAGGACAGAGTTTGGGGGCGTGCGCGAGGGCGCGGCGATTGGGGGAGCACGGCTTGGCGGCAAACGACAAGGGCCCAGTGAGCCCAGTAACCGCGACCCGGAAGGGCTTCTACCGCCTGTGTCGCGCAAGGTAAAGGACTCGCCCAACCAAGGGCCCACTGCAAAGCCCAGGGAAGCCGGGCTCCGGGAGAGCCTCCACGCGCGGCTTCGGCCCACCGTCCAGGCCTCCGGGAACCGGCCGCCGGCCGGCCCGGCCCAGAGCGCCGTGGAGGACTACTCACTGAACATGGCGGCGAGCCGGCGGTGGTGCCACGGCCCCGCGGCCCGCGGCGCGCGCCCACTCACCCGTGACGTGAAGGAAACGCAGCCCCTCGGCCTCCAGGGCGGGCCGCGCGGACAGCTGATCCCCGTCCCGCTCCATGGCGACGCAGCCCCGGCTGGCTCCGCGCCGCACACGCCAGCCAAGTCAGTGCCGGCCTTCGCCTTCCGGCGGGCCCCTAGTACACGTGGCGCTCGGGGCCGGCTTTCCGGCCTCCCGGCCAATCGGGTGGCGAGGCGGCCCAGACGTGCGTCATCGCCGCGAGGGCGTGGTCGAGGGCGAGGGCGGCACCGGGAACCTGAGGGGCGCCTTACAGCCTGCGCCGCGTCGGATGTTTACTCTCGTACTGATTGGACACCGAGGTCTCAAGACTTTGCCCTGGGCAAACAGGATTTGCGTCCACGCCCTTGTTCGCTGGCACCTTAAGCAACTGGGACTTCGCAGATTGGCAACTCCCGGCTATTGCGGGTTCCAGCCCTCCCCTTCCGCAGCCTCGGTTACCTTTCAGAATTGGGAAAGTCCCCGCCGACCCTGCGCCGTTCTCCACCCCAGAATCAAAATCTCCTGGGAAAGAATTAGCGTTAACAACGGCTCCAACACGCATTGAATCAAGAATTACTAAGTATTATAACACATCACAATTATTTATAATAATGTCCTGTCTTTTCTCTGCCTGTGATGCCCTCTACCACACCCTTGCACTCCTCTCTTAGTGCCCTACCTTAACCACCCTATTTGGAATTTGATCTTGAGCATTTTTTGGAGGAGGACTTAAAGTGAAAATACTCCCCTGAGTCTCAAAAGAAGGGTTGAGGATTAGGAAGAGAAAATAATCAGCAGGTGATGGCATCAGAGTGCTCTGCCACCTTAGCGTGCACAGACGTGAGCCTGGGGTATCCTGGCGGATTCCACTGCTCTTTTCCCTAGAAGTTTCTCAAGGGACTTGAACATTGACCCACAGAATGATATCTTCAGATGTGTGTCAGAAAGCAATAAAAGAGAAGAAATGGGCTTCTCCAATTGGGAAATTGAGGACTCTGGATTTTATCAAGACTGTGAAGACCCATTGATTTGCCTTTATAAGTGTTAGTGTAAGCACACTGACTGAAACTGCCAACCCTGGCCAGGCACCTTGGCAACTATTTGCATGAGTTGTTTTATGATCAGAGATCCTGGTAAAGAACGTGGAACTAACAAGACACCACAAACCAGAAGAGTTCAGGAAAGGTCAAAAGGAGACGGCACGTGTCTGACCACCTCCCAGAATCCTTGTCGCTAGCAACCATCTTGGCTGAGCAATGTGAGTGCCACCAGGAAGGACTCTGAATCAGAATGATTGGCCAAAGACAACCTGGAAACAGTCCCATCTCTGTTCAGTTCAGTCACNCTACTTGCCATGAAGTGATGGGACCAGATGCCATGATCTTAGTTTTTTGAATGTTGAGTTTTAAGCCAACTTTTTCACTCTCCTCTTTCACTTTCATCAAGAGACTCTTTAGTTCTTCATCGCTTTCTGCCAAAAGTGTGATGTCATCTGCAAATCTGAGTTTCTTTATATTTCTCCCTGCAATCTTGATTCCAGCTTGTGCTTCATTCAGTCCAGCCTTCCTCATGATGTACTCTGCATAGAAGTTAAATAAGCAGGGTGACAATATACAGCCTTGATGTACTCTTTTCCCAATTTGGAACCGGTCTGTTGTTCCATGTTCACTTCTAATTATTGCTTCTTGACCTGCATACAGATTTCTCAGGAGGCAGGTCAGGTGGTCTGGTATTCCTGTCTTTTTAAGAATTTTCCACAGTCGTGACCCACATAGTCAAAGGCTCTGGCATAGTCAGTAAAGCAGAAGTAGATATTTTTCTGGAACTCTCTTGCTTTTTTGTTGATCCAATGGATGTTGGCAATTTGATCTTTCATTCCTCTGCATTTTCTAAATCCAGCTTGAACATCTGGAAGTTCATGGTTCATGTACCATTGAAGCCTGGCTTGGAGAATTTTGAGCATTACTTTGCTAGCGTGTGAGAAGAGTGCAATTGTGTGGTAGTATGAGCATTCTTTGGCATTGCCTTTCTTAGGGATTGGAATGAAAACTGACCTTTTCCAGTCCTGTGGCCACTGCTGAATTTTCCAAATTTGAGGGCATATTGAGTGCAGCACTTTCACAGCATCATCATGTAGGATTTGAAATAGCTCAGCTGGAATTCCATCACCTCCACTAGCTTTGTTCATAGTGATGCTTTCTAAGGCCCACTTGACTTCATATTCCATGATATCTGGCTCTAGGTGAATCTAGTATAGATCTAACAGAAGCAGAAGATACTAAGAAGACATGGCAAGAATACACAGAAGAACTGTACAAAAAAGATCTTAATACCCAAATAACTATGATAGTGTGATCACTCACCTAGAGCCAGGCAAGAACTCAATGTGTTAAAATTGAATGACTTCTTGGGATTGCAGATGTAATACTTGGCCTGGGATCAGCTTAACATTTACTCGTATGTAAATACCAATGAACCACTCAGGATGACTAGGGCTAGCTGAATTTTTTGGTTATACGCTGGACACTAGGTACACTGTATTGGGGGGGCCACTGTTCATGGAAGCAGCTGGTTATGATTTCTCTTTCAGGGAATTAGTGTTTTGAAAAGGGATCTGGCACAACAGCTTCAGTCAATGTTTGGGAGTGTCCACTAAAAGTTTATTCACAACCTGAAAATTGAGAATTATGTTTTATTCAGTGGGAATTTTTAGAATTTCAAGTCCATGAGGCAGCATCTCAAGTGTCCCTGAGAGAATTGCTCTGAGGAGATGAAGAGGAAGCTAGGATACATAGGATATAGGAGTTTGTGACAAAGGGCAGGACAATAAAAGATTCTGGCTAATTAAAGAAAACCAGATATCCCCAGTTAAAGAATTTAGTGCCTTTCTATACATGGGAAGATGCAAGAATCTGGGCTCACTGAAATCCTTCCTTTGACAGGCACCTCAGCTATGTGGGGCCAATATTGCGTGTTTTCACATCCTGAGGAAACTCAGGGCCGACCTTTAGGAGTGGCTGCAGTCTGACGGCTGCTGGATGCCAGGTATTCTTTGCTTCCTTCCTGAGTTCCCAGAGGATCCACCAGCTCACTAGCACACTTTTGGTGGTGGGTGCTTGGCTGCAACCACTAATGATTGTGATACTACTTACTGATATGGCAGGCAATGTTACATTTATCAAGAGCAGTTTATTTTTATATATTAACTTAATGGTTAAGACTACTGGTGGCTTGGGTTAGCTAAGTAGACAGTCTTGGGCTTCCCTGGTTGCTCAGTGGTGAGGAATCCATCTGCCAATGCAGGAGACACAGGTTTGATCCCTCATCCAGGAGGATCCCACATGCTTCAGAGCAGCTAAGCCCATGCACCACAACTATTTAGCCTGTGCTCTGGAACCTGGGAGCTGCGACTGCAGAAGCCTGCTAGTCCGAGGGCCTGTGCTCTAGCTAGAGAGCAGACCCGGCTTGCCACAACTAGAGAAAAGCCCATGTAGCAGGAAAGATCCAACACAGCCAAAAATTAATAAATTAAAGGATAACAGCCTTTGTCAGATACTTCCCTGCCTTAGTAAGAGGTGTCACATAAAGATGTGAAAGCTTCAAGAATGTTTCAGTGAATATCACTTCTGAGTTCATGGTGTAGTTCAGGATTTAAAGATACTTGGAATAGGTATGGAGGAAGATCCCACATTGCAAAGATTTGCTGCTGCTGGCTTTCAAAATAAGTCAATGAGTCATCAATGAATTAAGACAACCTGTATATCATAAAAGTGTCAAAATGCTGCATCTGGTTAAGTAGAAGAAAAGAGACTGGTTTATTAACCTTGTTTACCCACCTTGCCCTGTAATGTTTATAGTCATGAAGATGGAAAAAATTTGTAACATTTAGTTTCTATTATATAAGCAAAAATAGTGAACAATTCTTGTCACTCAAGACTTTGTGATATAGAATACGAATGAGCACAAAAGTCATGAAAATAATGTACAATTAAACATTTACAAGAACAAAGTGTCTTGTATACTATCGTGAACTTCAGTGTATTTGTATGTATACATACCTATGTATACATATATAATGATAAAGACTATATTCAATAGAAATTTAAGAAACTGATTTCAGAGCATGGATGATTTGTTTTCAGTACCTAATATGTTGCTATTCTTATGGTCTCACTGATAGAAGTTACTCATTCTTCTTGGCTAGGCATATATGTTACCTTTGTCCTATCAATCAGTGTATCATCTCACCTAGCTTGTCCAGAACCATAAGTTATTTCAGCAAACATTTTGCTCAATATAACTGCTCAGGTGTTAGTAACAAAAACAGAACAAAGGTAGTATCCAGGATACTGACAATGATAGACTAAATGATTGGCCCTAATCCATCACTCCTTGCAACAATACCCTTGCCATAGTCTCAAGGTGGGAGGAATGTATTTCCCCATCCCTTGACTTTGAACTTGGTCAGACTGCTTGTTTTGGTCAATGGCAAGTAGACAAAAGTAATAACGTGTCACTTTTGAGTGTAGGTCTTAAGAAACTTCTACTCTTTCCTTTTTGGAGAAAAATATGTAAAGCTGAACCACAAGAGTTAACCCATAGACCTGAAGTGAGAAACAGAGCCAGCTATAAGAGAAAATGGTGATTGTTGCTTAAAATAAGTTTTGGGGTGGTTTGTTATGCAGCATTTAAAAAAATTATTGAAGTATAATTGATTTATAATAAGTCAATGAGTCATCAATGAATTAAGACAACCTGTATATCATAAAAGTGTCAAAATGCTGCATCTGGTTAAGTAGAAGAAAAGAGACTGGTTTATTCACCTTGTTTACCCACCTTGCCCTGTAATGTTTGTAGTCATGAAGATGGAAAAAATTTGTAACATTTAGTTTCTATTATATAAACAAAAATAGTGAACAATTCTTGTCACTCAAGACTTTGTGATATAGAATACAAATGAGCACAAAAGTCATGAAAATAATGTACAATTAAACATTTACAAGAACAAAGTGTCTTGTATACTATTGTGAACTTCAGTGTATTTGTATGTATACATACCTATGTATACATGTATAATGATAAAGACTATATTCAATAGAAATTTAAGAAACTGATTTCAGAGCATGGATGATTTGTTTTCAGTACCT